TATTGTGGACCTGGTCCAACTCTTCAAGTCCCTGGGTAACCAGATGAGCCTACTGAAAATCCCAAGCTAGTTATCAGTGCTAATCTCATATCTGTGGAGCCAGGGAGCCGTCTGGTGATGGGGCTTCATGCTTTTCTGGTCACTGTTAATTCAATGTTGAAGGTACAGCAAGAATCAACACCTACTCCATCTCGTGCTAACAGAAAGTTAATACCTATTCTGTTGTCCGATACTACTTTCTCTAAAAACAGCTAAACATTCTTGTTGATCTGCAAGGTTATCTATGATGTCATTACCTAACCATTCCACAGTGGCTTATATTTGGATAGCCATTTCCAGTTAGATTATTCCAGTGAAGGAGAAGAAGAACCCAAAAAGTCTATATCCAAAACCAGTATCTCTTTCAGGGGGTTGTAATTTTCCGTACATGGCTTTCATTTCTCTGCAGTCACTGATGAAGATATTTAAGTCATTACTGAAATGTTTGCTTTCATTTTAAGAATAACTATCTTTAAAAAACTTCCATAAAGTCTGGGGTACATTGACCCTACCATCTATCATCCATTTAAGCAGAGTTTGATTCACCACTTGGCTTTGGTTCTGCTTTTCTTGGGTAATTTCATCTTCCATATAAAGACGTATATACATAAGGAGTGCCAATCCTGCTGTCATGTGAATTACCAGTTAAGTCACGTAAAGGGAAATGAAAGCTCTGACTCATTTTTCCTCTGTTGTGAGCTCTGGTGGCACAAGCTGACTGTTAACCCAAAGGCCACGCAGCTCTGGCAGTCCTGGTTTACCAGTGACGCCGTGAGAGAAAGGCAGTCTCCTCCCACCCCCATGCCATTGACAGCCTCAGAAACCAGATGCTGAGTCAGCCAAGTACGTTTTGACTCAGTGACAGTGAGTGTGAGGGTTTTTTTAATGTTCTTGTGCTATTGTTAAATAGTAATTGAAAGTGGATAATCATCTCTTTTTTTTTTAATCTCAGTTTTAAAGGTTTAAAAATCAGTCTCCATCTATTACAGATTGAATATGCTGAGTTCTTTTTTTACAATCAGACAGCAAAGAGTATAGGGGATATCTGGGCAGCTCACGATGGCAATGACACATTTAACAAGTAATTTGTCTGCAGAACCTTGGGCACTTCAGGCTTCATGGTAGGATGAGAGTTAAGTGGGTGACAAGAGGCAGAAGCCATCTATAAGTTATTCCTTTGCACTGTCTGAGACAAGCTTTAAGATGTCCCAGAACTGAATGTCATGGGCTGAGTTAAATGAAAGCATGGAACATGACTTTCAGTGGGCAGTCTGGAAGGATGCCGTAGTATAACATGGATGTGTTGTCATGTACCATCAAGTGAGACCTGATTCATAGCAGACCCTCCAGCAGGTTTTCAAAGGCAGTTAACTACATGGAAGGAGAGTGCCCACCCTTTCTCCTTTGGAGCAGCTGTGGGATTCGAACCACGTACCTGTGGGTTGCCAGCGCAACTCTTTACCACTAGGCCACCAGTGCTCCCTTGTAACATGGAAAGTTTGTTTAAAGATGAGATTGATGTCACTGGTAGGTGGGGATACAAAAAAGCTGTCAGCTTTTCAGAAGCTAATGGATCCAGTGTCACTTACTGTGCTTAAAGAGGAATGACAATACGACAGTGCATTAAATTTGTATCTTTATCCTGATTGGGCTAATCTTACAAGAGCATTGTCCTATGTGATTAAAGATACTATGACTGAAATTATATAAATATTAGTAAGTCAGGCCTTAATGACTTCTTGTGTTGTTGAACAAATCTAAGCAAATATTCAAGGTTATTATCTATGAAGTAATAAGTACTGTTATTAGGAAAACATGTTCTAATGATGTCACAAATGCACTAATAAAGTCAAAGCTTATGTACTTACAGAACTTATTTTACCAGATGATGAATGAACGAAACGAGCTCAAATGTAATGAGTATTAGGAAGAGAGCAGTGGATTCAGTAGCTCACATTAAAACAAGGAATGTAAAAAAAAAAAAAAAGATGTAGTTTTACAATGTAAAAATTAAATATTAAAGCAAGGGATATTACTAAATTCATGTAACATTGTAATTCAAAAGAGAATGGCAAAGCTTATTAGCAAATTACAAAGATATAGTTGGTGTTAATATTTGATTTGTTAAAATAACATTATTTTAACAAACAAGTATTTCTGTTGTTGTGTATATCCTGCATTTATGTTTCTTGTAAAACATGCTTGCAATGAATAAGTCATTGATAGTGCAAGTAATACTGGAATTGTAATAATATTAGGTAAATTTTATGAAAAGAATAAAATTAAGTTCATTGGTTTTGGATTAATAGATTTTTAGATATAAGCCTGGTCTTAGAATCTTGGGAAAAGTTGTCTGCGTCAATCATCAGTCACTTCTTGCATTTTAGTTTCATTTCTTTAGTTGGCTAGAGGGACAGTTAAGCACTTAAATGTTGAGTTTTAGGCCCTGGATAGGCTAGCAAGTCAAAAAAAGCATTACCCTTTTTTAAGTGAGATCCAAAGTTGAATGCCTTGAAACTTGGCAGCACACGCATTGGAATTTCATTCCATAGGCCTTCCATAACTGAATTGGGGTCACCTTGAGCTGGGATGAAATCAATGCTATAGTTAATCTTACAGACGCATATCGCTGGGCCGTTCTTCCATGGCACTGAGTGGTTTTGAACTGCAAATCTTTCCACTAGTAACAGAGCACAAATGCACCATCCAGGGAATTTTATGTTACCAACAGCTATTTTCTATCATTTTAGATCACTGATTTGCCTTGAATGCACATTGAAAATACCTGAAAACCTTAAGCATCCCTGAGGCCCAAGCTCCAACCTGAGAAATTCCAGTATTGTTGTCTGGGGGTGCAGCTTTGTTTTGTTTTGATTTGTTTTGTTTTTAAAACTCCCGAGAACAGGACAACGTGCAGCATGGATTGAGAACCCCCTATTTTCCATAGGTGTCAGTCGCCATAGACAGGGTTATGCTATAATAAACTACACATGTACTATTTACCTAAAAATATAATAGGAAATAAAATAGGTAGATGTATACATGAGTATTTTCTTGGACCTTTTATTGCTATTGTATTTAATGTGTAATTGTGATACATCTTGCTTTTAATACTCTGTCTCGTTCCCATAGTTTCCTATCCATAGATCTATTGATTTATTATTATTATTATTATTATTGTTATTATTATTATTATTAATTTCAATGAACATTTACGGAGATTGTGGATTTCCATTCATTCATTGTTGCACTTTTCTCCCCGCCCACGCCGATCTGTTGATTTTTTTTTTTGCAGTGATTGGCTAGTTTTCCATGAGGTGAATATACCAGAGAGTGCTTTTGTTTATGTGTTAGTTTCAGGGCTTCCAGCTGTTTCTTTTCAGCTCAGTCATGGCCAGTGAACTGAAACTGAAACAGATCCAAATGTGTAAAATGTGAGCATATCAGAACACTAACCATTTTGTGGTTGACACGCTGTTTGAAACCTAATCTCCCTCCTGAAAAACAAAGGTCGTGTGCATGTTCCATAGCAATCGAATCTTTTGTTAGGCAGAGTCAGAAACAACGATGCCCAGCTCAACCACGTTGCTCTGAATACATGCTGCTCTCTGCAATCCGGGCAATAATCTAATCGCCCTTATTAGTCTCCTGAAAATGCTTACTCTACATCTCTTCTAAAGCTCCCATTATAGTTTTTACTTATCATTTTTTCCCTTTCTGGATGGCATTCCAGGACCCCACATTTTACAAAATCAAGTCTGTTCCATTGACTACCCTGAACAAGTTCAAACCAGTTCAGAGCCCTAGTTTGTATTGATAAGTGATACTGTTGAATAACAATGATTTACTTTAAGTGACGCAGCATATGAGGAGCGTCAGTGGTACAGTGGTAGAACTTTTGCCTTCCATGCTGAAGACGTGCCTTCAGTGTTGCCAGTGCATCTCATTCAGACACTACTGTCTGTCTGTGCTGAGTTGCTATAATGCTGAATATGCAATTTGAATCCACCAGATGCTCCACTGTAATATGCGGTCCAAATCCACCAGCTGCTCCTCAGGAAAAGGAAGGACAGTCTCCTCTCGTGCAATTAACTGCCTCTGAAAACCTGCTGGAGGATCAGCTATGGGTCGGTTCCTACTCGATGGCACACAACAGCAGGCACATAATACTGAATAGATTCTGGCAGAGCTCACAGACTGTGAAAGACTAGGAAGAAAGGCCTGGTGATCCATATCCCAAAACAGCAGCCAGTGGGAAACCCTGTGGATTACAACCATCTGACCCTGATGTACACGGGATCACCATGAATGGAAAGCCAGTTCTACAGCATCTAAGAACAAAAACAAGGCAGAGTGCAGAGAGAGAGAGAGCTTTGACAAGAGAGAACCAGCATGCCAGATCAACAGCCCGACCTGCTGCCTGTGAAATCTTCTGACCCTCTCTGAGATAAAACAATTTGGAGGGGAATGCCGGAAACACGGGTTTTCCAAGAAGTCTTCCTTTATGGCGGCCATTCTTGATTAATCACACCATGACACACAGTTCAAATTCCAGGGGCATATTAGGGTAGAAGTAAAGTCCAAAGGTGGGCATAGGAAACTAGAAATGGCATCGCAGAAACTCTCTGCTGTCATCACCTGGATCCCACACGGAGGCGGAGCTCAGGCCACGTATGACGCAGGCGGAGAGAGCTCGGCTGTACTTGAGCCGGCATACGTAGTCCACAAAGTGACTCCTCGCTGGCACTGTGGGAGAAAGATGGGCAGTCTCCTCCTGTGTGATTTACAGCCTCAGAAAACCCACTGGAGGGTCAGCTCTATGTCGCTTCAGACTTGGTGACAGTGAGTTTTGAGCTTAAACACTTGAAGGGTGCTGGAGGCACCTGAGATGGGTGGAAAGCAGCTGAGATGGGTGGAAGTCCCCTCCTGACCCTTTTGTCCCCCTTCTGCTCTCTTCATAGGACACCACGACGTCCGTGCGCATTGGCCTGATGATGGAAGAAATGATCTTCAACCTGGCAGATACCCATCTGTTCTTTAACGACCTGGAGGTTTGCAGTTACTCATTTACCATTTTCAGCATTTAATCCCTGTGGCTGGTTTGGAAGCAAAAAAAGCAGCAGCCTTAACTGCTGCTGCTTCTCCTTTCTTCTTTCTTTTGATGGCTGCAAACTTTGGCTCACAACCCCGAGAAAGCCCAGAATGACCAGAGAAAACTTTTTTGGAAACACACTTGCTCGGATTATCCTCCTTGGGCGGCTAACGGGCTTTTCTCTCTGCTTCGGTAGGGGTGTCCACTGGCAGTTTAACTAACCCAATAAGGACTCGGTCGTTTCTTCCTCCCCAAATTTGCTATTTAATAAGTTTATTAAGGTAAATTAGTGCAGCTCCCCCTGGGTCAGGAATAATTAACAGTGGGCCTGCATGGAAGCTTTTAAAAACAATTTACATTTCCCTGAAAGCATGTTTTACAAAGAGAGAGTGAGCCCAGGGACCAGGCTTGTTTAAAGTCTCTGCGCCAGTGCCCCCAAGCAAGCTGGGAGGAGAGGAGGGTGGGAGAGAGGCAGGGAAGCCCATTTGGAAATAAATGTCATTCATTTGTTTATCCCCAGCCTCTGTTAGATTTGGGAAAGATAAAATAAGACTGTAAAAGCATTAAGTAAAGAAACAAAAAAACCCTGCCATCAAGTCTATTCTGACTCATGTCATGTTGTTGTGTACCATCAAGTCTGACCCAACCCATAGTTTAGAGCAGCTGAGAGCCCAAACAGTGTGCTTTCATGATTGCAGCTCAGCTTCTTGCCACTAGGCCACCAGAGCTCCCCTCAGAGCTGCCGACTTCTAGCAACCCTTTATAGACAGAGCAGAACTGCCCGTACGTTTTCCAAAGCTGGAGATCCTCCTCCTGTAGAGTGACTAGTGGGTTTGAATTTCCAACACTTTTATTTCCTCCCTGATTGCCGTGGAGTTGGAACTGACACATAGCTGACCCTCTGTGGAGCTTCGCGGGCTGTAAATCACAGTAGAGATTGCCCATCTTTCTCCCTCGGAGCCACCAGTGGATTTGAACAGCCAGAGAGGGGAGGTCTTTGGATTAACAGCACAATTTCCCTGAAGACTACACATTAGGGCTCCCTCCCTTTTCATTGGGAGAGTCATTCTGTAACCACTGTGCCACCAAGCCCCTCAATTAATTAAAAAAAAAAACACTTAAGAATAGGCTACATCCACAGTGAAGTTCAGGGTCAAGAGCTGACCCATTCCCTGGTAGCCAAAGCCTATGGGGCCCAGTTGACATCCAGCCAATTGCAACTCCTGATGAGTGACTCAGAGTGTGTCAGAGAGGACTGTGCCCATAGCACTTGTTACGGCTGATTTTTTTTTTCTATTTGATCACAAGAACTTTCTTCCTCCTTTCAGTGGACTAGAACCTGCAACCTTGGCATTAGCAACTGAGCACATTAAGCATTTTCACCACCTAGGGCCTCTTGGGAGCCAAATTCGAGAGAAACAATGAGGAGTTGTTAGACTAAGGTGCTTTCTTCAAAGTGGAGAAGAGTTCTGAGGCTGATAAGAGGAGGCTTCTCTTGTGGAGTGAATTGCATTTGTCTGACTAGACTGACAAGGGCTCCAGTGGCCTAGTGGTAAGGAGCTGTGCCGCCATCCTAAAGGCAGGTGGTTCAAATCCACCAGCTATTCCACAGGAGAAAGGCGGGCAGTCTCTTCTTGTGCGATTAAACTGCCTCTGAAAACCTGCTGGGGGTCAGCTGTAGATCGACTCCGACTTGATGGTACACAATGGCATCAGGCTATTAGGGAGCTGTAGCAGTGTAGTGTTACAAGTTGGATGACCAGCTGAAAGGCCAGTGGTTCAAACCCACCAACAACTCCGAGGGAGAAAGAAAGGCGGTCTCCTCCTTGAAGGTTTACAGTCTTAGAAACCCCATGCAGGCTTAGAAAGCAAAATGAACCTCAGACAGAACTGCGTATGAAACCACAATTCTATTTCTACCAGCAGGGACTCCCCACTCCCAGCCCCAGAAATCTAGAACATCCCTAGGGACTAAATAGTGGAGCAGAAATATAAATACTCAATTCTCAATCTGCCCTGTGCGACCCAGTCACTAGGAATCTGTACCTTCTTCCTGCTGATATTCAGGCCTTGAGTTTCGGAGGGGGACATTCTTGCTGGAAAGATCTACCATTCTAGACAAGCCATTGGGCCCTCCTCCACCAGCCTATGAAATGTAATTGACATTTTCTGTTTCACTGGGAGGATCTAGGTATTTGTTCTTTGAGGAAGGAAGGTGATGGAGAGAGACTGACTGCTCCTGGTCTCAAAGCTGTGCTCTATCTCCATAGCCCAAAGCCGTTGATCTCCTCTGTGACCACTGGTGGCTTGGGGAGAGAGACAGTGAGAATTCACGACTTTGTTGGCTGCTGAATTCAGCTGGTGTGTGCAGAGCCTAGTGCTGTAGGCAGGGGTCCCTTGGTAGAACTGTTAACCTGCCCAAATGGTTCCTGGGAAGGTTGGTGGTTTGAGTTGGCCCAGAGGCACTTGGAAGAAAGGCCTGGCAATCTGTTTCCAAAACTCTGCCATTGCAAACCCTTGGAGCACAGTTCCTCTCCGTCACACACACAAGGTCCCCAGGAGTTGGCAACTGGAATTTTGGAGTTTTTCATATGTAGTAGACAAGACTGTTGATTGCGATATTAAAACCCAGTTCAAAGACGCCCTAACAAAAAATGAAAGTATTATCTCTTATAGTTGAAAAAATACAAGGTAGAGGAGCTCTGGTGGCCTAGTGCCAAGAAGCTGCACTGCAGTCCCAGAAGTATGTGGTTTGGATCCACCAGATGCTCTGCTGGAGAAGGAAGGGCAATCTTCTCCTGTACCAGTCAGATCTGATCTGACAGTACACACACACTAATTTTTTTTTTAAAAGTACAAGGTAGAGTCAGACTTTGATGGACCTCCCCTCAAGAGTGTCAGTGTCTGGTTGCCCCTGACTCCCAGGGCCCAGACAGTCAGCCACCAGACAAATCCAAAGACGAGAGAGAGTCCCTTCTGGCAAGAAAGATGTGAAGGCAAGAAAAGAATCAGACGGAAATCAGAATGTCCGTGAGGAAGTGGGGCAAGTGTGATTTACACTGTGGGCGCCATGATTATCGTAAAGCAAAGTGTGTATGCGTGGCTAAATGGAAAACCAGTTTGCTTTGTTATCTTTCATTCATATCACAACTTAGAAGAAGAAGAAGAAAGCGATCAGAAACAAGAGTAGGTGTTGAGGTGGAAGCAAGGAGGGACCCACATTCTCCAGGGTAAGTCAGAGAAGGCTTCTGGAGGACGTGACATTTGAACTGAGGCCTTGATGACAAAATCAGGGGAGATCCAGGAAGATGGGGTCAGCAGGTGCAAAGGCCCTGCAGTGAGAAGAAGTGTGACATGATGGAAGATGAGAGAAGAGGTCAGGATAGCTGGAGTAAATGAGCTGAAGAGCAGGTTGGACAGAGGTCCAAGGCTGGAACAGGAGGCATCGCCGTCAGATGCAGGTCTAGAAATCAGAGCTGCTTCTGGACCAGGGTCAGGGTCAAGGGAGCCCCCAACAAGGAGAGCGGCTGGCGATTTTGGGGGGCTGCTGTGTGGAGAGTGGACAGTAGAAAGGGACAGGTGGAGGCAGAGAACGCCGAAGAGCTTACCATAACCATCCAAGCAAGAGAGGAGGAGTTGGATGGAGGTGACACGTTATGAAATTCAAGGTGAAGGTCACAGACCTCATGTATTAGAGTGGGGATGATGAGGAGGAGACAGGACGATTTTTTTTTTTTAATTTTACACTATTTTACCTACAAAATGTGTATACATTGCCCCTCACACCTTTAATGACTCTTAGATTACCACAGTCAGGCGCCACTCGTGGTAGGGGTTGAGTATTTTATAAAAAAGAAAACACTGTGTTGGGGTCTGCCCTGGGGATGCAGTACCATCTGGAGCAGGACTTCGTTATGTACCTGCGATCACAGCTTCTCCTAAATGTCATCACTTCCGAAATCTCAAAAAGAGTGGAGCAGACACAGAAGCAAATGAGAGCAAGTGGGGTTCCTGTCACTGAAGAACAGAGGAGTATCTGGCTAAAGCATCCACCCAAAGCCTCAGAGAACCTTCGAGAGCTAGCACCCTGAATTCAGACTTCTAACCGCCCAACAGGGAAGATATACCATCTGTCCTTTAAAAGACAGTGTTTGTTTCAGCTGCACTAAGAAGCTGAGATAAGGAATGCTAGTGGTGCACTGGATTAAACATTGGACTGCTAACTCAAAGGCCAGCAGTTCAAACCCACCAGCAGATCGGCAGGAGCATTCTGCTTCAGTAAAGATGACAGCCTCAGAAAATTCATGGGACAGCTCTACCCAGTCATATAGGGTCACTGTGAGGGGAGTCGACTCAATGGCAGGCTTTAATTAAGAAGCTAAGACAAGCAGGTGTGTAGAGGAAAACAGGGTCCTTCTGTCTGGGACGTGTTGGGGTTACAGTGTCTAACGGGAGATGCCAGAGAGACAGCAAGTATGAACTTGAAGATCATGGGCAGTAAAAGTCTTGGGCTCCAGGGGGCGCTCTGTGTGTCCAGGTGGAGCCCAGGTTCAGAGCCAGCCCTCTGTGGGTATTTTGTATTTCAAGGGGAGGCCAGTGTCTCTTTCTCGCTGCTCTGAACCCACACCTGTTGGAGAAGGCCCTTATTTACTCAGGAAAGCCAGTTTGGGTTTGTTCTTTTAAATTAGTCTTCTTCCTAAAAAACGTCCTCAGTGCTAGAAGCCCCCAGCTGAATGGAAACCGTGTTCCAACACCAGGAAGTTAAACCTTGCTCGTAGTGTTTGTGGAGGAGAGACAGGCCCTGTGGGAATCTCCAGTGCGGCCTCCTGCTGCCCCGGGGCAGCCATTCGGGATGAGGTGGGGGCCGGATGGGGTGGGGAGGAAGTCACAGCTGACTTCAGATGGTCTGGGACCCCCAAAGAGACCAGTGGCACCCAGGAACTGGAGTTCCATCCTTAG